CTTGGACCACTCTGAAAGACTTGATTATTTTTCTGGGGGTTGAGGGAGTCTTTCCTAATATCTTTCAATGGAAATTTGTTGGTGGTTTTGAGTGTTTTGGAGCCAACAATTTTTTTTTCTTTCACTTCAAGGAAAATCAATTTTTGCACCCCTCAAACATCAACAAGTAATGGTTCCAGAGGGGTAAGAATCTTCATGAATGCAGAGGGGTAGTGTCTGAACATTTTCCGATGTCGATAATTGATTTTTACCCCGGTTTTTGAATCATGTGTGCACTGGGCCCCAGGGGATCATGATACGCCCCGTTCTGCTGCCAAGTCGGCTGCTAACTTCAGCGTCATATAAATTATCCATTCGCTATTTCCTCTCTACCGGACTTATTTCTTAATCTTTATTAAAAACGCTCTTTGAAAATGTTTTGATTGTACAATCATAATTTTTAGGGACTTCTGCGTGATGTAAAATTCAATGGAAATTGTGATATATTTTACATTATGAAGATGGAAAAACAAAGGAGATAACGTTCGAAGGATAATCCACGCAGGCCTTAATTCTGTTATGTTTTTCATTTATCTTTCATAGAATTCAGCAAAAATTTTCTGGAATTTTCTAGAACATTCCGGAACGCTGGTAAATTCTCAATCTAATGTTGAAACAAAGTCGTTTATTTAGAATTGACGGTTACATTTTTCATAACTGTGAATTTATCTCGTAAGCAAGTTGTTTCAGACGAAAATGTGAAAAAATATGTTTGTAGTTAAGAAAATCCTCCACAAAACGGAATATTCTTGACGTTTTGTTTTAAAATCCCTCATTATAGAGATAATTCAATGTCAACAAAATGTTAAAACAAAGTTTGTTGTTACGAATTGGAAATTGAAGAGACTATTTTTTCCGATTGGAAATTTGTCTCGCAAACAACTGATTTGAGAAAATGTGATGAGACATTTTTTGAAACTGAGGAAATTTTCTACAATAAATTTTTTATGACAATTAGACGCAGTGACTCATCACCGAGATAATTTCACTTCTAGCACACCGAAAAATTCATCTTCCATCAAATACTGAATAAACGATTTTTCTAGGTTTATTTACGATTTTTTGGAGGACAGTCTTGAGTAATTTATCATTTTGGGGTGGAATTACACAAGACGAGATGATTGTTAAGGTTATGAACTCACCGATACTCCTGAAACCCCTGTCCCTTCTGCCAGTCTGAGGTTGTGTTCGAGGTTTGAGAATAAATCCGACATTTTCGGGGATTTTCTTTGCACAATTCGTTACATCTTAATTCCTTGGGGCTTGTCTAATCGTTTGGTCATTCGAGAAATCACTTGACGTGTGTCCAAGAAGTTTTCCCTTCAGTCTCTCATCGTTTTTTTTTCTGCACCGGTCCGGCGGGAATTTCGAGGCTTCGGGGAATTGTCGACAGGGGGATGATTCGAAAAATTGGGGGAATAGTAGCAAAATAAACAAAGACACTATTGCATGTATTAATAATACCTAGGTTCTTCATTTAATCAATTAATTTATTCACGATATGAGAAATTGCCGAAAAAATGAATTAAAAAAGTAAAAAAATGTGATAAAATATTTTGTCAGAGAATTAACTCTCCACAAGGAAAATTCTCATTATTTTTATTGAATAATTAATTAATTCATTGATGATTTTGTGGAATTGAACGAGAGATAAATGGGAAAATTTTGGTTATTATTATTTCAAAAATATCTGAAAAACTATGAGGTGTATCGAAAAATGTAATTAAATATTTTTTTCAAAGAACTGAATTCTCTACAAGAAAGGTTCTGACATGAATTCCTCTGTATCCTCTAGATACCGAGATATTTTTCAAAAACTAATTTCGTGGCGAAATTATTTCTCGAATATCTATAAATCACAAAATTTTCTGTTGAAAATGTCAATCTGACCTTCATCAATTCAATGAATCGATGTGAATACAATGCACATGAATTATTGTGCCTCGTGTCAGTTTGAATCATCCGAGATCTCTTGAGATTGGAATGTTGACACACGTCTGTTCAAATTCAAGTTAAAATTCAAGAAAGGTCTTTTCGAATTATCTTCTCATGTTACATTTCCTCCTAAAATGTATTCATGTGTAAATGTCGAAAAAAACTCAACCGTTTCTCTTATCGCCTACCGATAAAATTCGTAATCTGAAAAGTTTTCATCTCCCAATCCACAGGTACGTAAAAATTTAATAGAAAAACCCAGCGGATTGATTCGAAATTTTTTGTCGTCAATCTTTTCCCTAAAATTTTCTGCGGAAGAAATCTTTAGATAATAATTTCTATCGAAAAACCAAAAACTATTCACCTTTTTCTATATATTTATTATCTACTTGCTATTTTATTTTCATTAAATATTTAATTAAGGAAAAAAATAAATAATTTCTATTGAAAACTAGAATTTTAATAAAATTTTCGATACATCTCTAATTTTATTGAATTGTCCTTCAATTCCATCTTTTGAGATTGGAATATTGACACACGTCTGTTCAAATTCAAGCTCTGAAAGGTCTTTTCGAATTATCTTCTCATGTTACATTTCCTCCTAAAATGCATTCATCTGTAAATGTCGAGAAAAACTCTGAACCCAACAAACTCAACCACTTCTCTCATCACTTAAAAATACAATTAGTAATCGGAAAATTTTTTATCTCCCAATCCCGGCCCCACTAGTCCGCCAAAATCAATAATAAATGTGAGATGCCACCTTTTACCTCTGGCGAATCACATGACACTCATCAATCAAAGAATTTGACCTCGAGTTTGCTCGTATATAAGCTTGCGGTGAGGGGGGGAAGCGTGTTTAAACGGGGATAAGTCCTTAAATATTTTTCAGTATTTGCAATGGTTTCATCAATAAAAATTCATAAAAAAATAATTTTAAAAAAATCATTAATAAACAGTTTAAAATTTGCCTTTTTCGGATAGAAAAAAAAAATTCTATAAAATACGCGTGTTCCGATGGGGGCAAATCCTCAAACATTTTTCAGTATTTGCAATAGTTTCATCAATAAAAATTCATAAAAAAATAATTTTAAAAAAATCATTAATGAACAATTTAAAATTTGCCTTTTTCGGATAGAAAACAAAAATTCTATAAAATACGCGTGTTCCTGCGGAGGTAAACAAATAATTAAAAACAAATCATTAATAAACAATTGACAATTTGCAATTTTCGGATAGAACAAAAATTTCTATAAAATACGCGCGTTTTACGTAGTTGCACAGGACCTTCACAGGATACGTGAGTCGTCCATAAAGAAATTTACATCGAATTCCTTATTTTTTTGAATAATTTGTTAAAACAGAAGACGAAAAATGTCAATTTTCAATGAGAAAACTTTATGTTCTGGATTTTCAAAACATTTCAGGAAATGTTAATCCTCATGATTTTTTCCTCAACTGTTCGTTGATTAAGAATTGATCTATCAACACAAATTAACGTCAATTGTTTACAAACAAAAACGAACAAATTTAATCCTTGTCTATTGAACAAACGGTCGAGTTTATTCGACATTCAGGATGCAAAAAGCATAGAGTCCAGTGAAAAAGTTTTCTCGACCTAAAATGTATGCAAAAAGCCTGCGGCCCAAGTCTCGTGATTTTATTAATTCGGCAATTGGAGAGAGAAGTCAAAAATAATCTCCAGGTGGTGGAGTGGGAGTGCTGGTTCTTAAGCGCATGTCCCATCGTCCCGTCATCAATTGCCCACTGTTGCCCACGTTCTCGCGACGCAACACCATCGTAACACCGGCGTTTCCGTCTTTCCAGCAATTTCTCTGCTCTCGCCCGGGGCGAAAAAAAATTAGAAAATCAATTCGATTTTTACTTTTTTTTTCGAGTGATTCAGCAGTTGTTATCACCGGTTTTGGGACCCGTGACATGATAGCGTGACTAGACACTTCAGAGATTAAGGAAAGTTGTAAAAGGAGAGAGAGAGAAAGAGAAACAGGGAGAGAGTGCGATCAGTCAAGAGTTCGATTTCTCCGTTTTGGAATTGTTGAGAGGATTCTGTGATGGCTCCGAAAGTCGTTGTTAAGTCACCTAAACTGAGGTACACTGAGGAGTTCATTGAGGCGGAGTATGAGTACCAGACGACGAGAGTGGACACTCAAGGGGATGGAGACACGATGACTGTGAGAGGAATATTTTTCATTCTTTTAATATGTAATTTCTTCGGGGTTGAAGGCGATTGAATTTTGAAGAGGTAGCTATTTTCGGGAATATGTTATTAATGAGTGGGTTTAGGGAAAAAAGTGTTAAGAAATTTTTAGCGGTGAATTTTGGGAGCTACAGTAAAGGGCTTTTGACTTCTTTTATGAATCCAGTGGTTTAAGAGATTTTTTCAAAAAACTTCTGCACGTTTTTTTTCAATTGGAGAATTTGCGGATTTAGAGAACAAATTTTTAGGCCATCTTTTATGAAGAATTTTGAGATTCATAAAAAAGGTATAGCCATGCTTTTGAATAGCCGCAATAGTTTTAGAGATATCTTCAAAAATATTGTGAGTAAAATACTCCAAGTTGGCAAATTCATATGCGACAATTGAAAATATCTTAAGAACGGATGGGTGTAGACAAAAATGTGAAAAAAAAATTTTCGTGTAAAATTTCATAAGCAATACATAACGTTTTGTAATGTTTTTCGATAAATCCAATAGTTTCCGAGATTTTCACGAAAATATCAACTTTGTATTGGTTTTTTCGTTCAATGACAAAAAATTACTTGCAGAGAATTTCCCCAATATCTTAAAAACCATCGACTATATCGCAAAACGTCAGAATACCTTTTTTGAGGCCCATAAAATTCTCTTCAAAAAAAGTCTTGTCACATTTTTCTCAAAACCCCACAGTTTCCCAGATATCAACAAAAATGACTTGAAAAAAATTGTAAACTGAAAAAAATTGATATTTTTCTTCGACTTTCCCTTTTCCTCTAATCTATTAATTTAATTTTCCTCGCCCCCAGGTGACACCAGAGTCGACGTCGCTCTTAATCCGCACCGAGTCCAAGGTTCCCAAGTTAGGAGTGATGCTGGTAGGCTGGGGAGGGAATAATGGTACCACGATAACAGCAGCTCTTCTCGCTAACAAATTAAAGCTGTCCTGGGAGACAAAGGAGGGGACGAAGACCGCCAACTGGTACGGGTCCCTCACCCAGGCGTCGACGGTCTGGCTGGGAACTTCCGGTGACAAAGAAATTTATGCCCCCATGAATTCCCTTCTCCCCATGGTCGATCCCGACTCGATTGAAGTCGATGGATGGGACATTTCGAATCTTACCATGGCTGATGCCATGAGCAGGGCCAGGGTCCTGGATATCAATCTTCAGAAGCAACTGGTGCCCCATATGGAGAAGTTGAAACCTAGGAGGAGTATCTATTATCCTGATTTCATTGCTGCTAATCAGGTGAGATGACTTCATTTTTGCAGAGAATTCAATTATTTTCTTAAGGGGAGACCACTAGGAGTTTTAAAAGTCGCCGGCTATTGAAATGAGATTTCTCGTACATTGAAGATCTATTGCATATGTCTAAAAACGAATAATTAGTGCAAAACGATTAATTGTTTACTATTCGTTTGCTTCGCAGACGCTTAAAATGTTAAAAATACGCCAGTGCCTACAATTTTTAAGCTAAAGAGGTTTTTCAATTTTTTTGAAAAAACACCTATGAAAAAATTCAATAGAAAACCTAGCGAATTCGCTAGAAAATTCTATTGGAATTCTATAGGAATTCTATTGGAATTCTATTGAAAAATTCTATTCGTTTTTTGCGCTGATTCTATTGGATATTCGATAATAAAACTCAATAGATTTCGAATTTCTGTTTGAATTTTTCTCTTGAGATTTTTTCTATAAGAACGCTTGAGCATCATTTTCTAAGTATTTTCCACTCAGATTCTGTAATGCAAAACAAAACAAAATCCAGCGGAAAAAACTTAGAAAATTTGTGCCCAATAATTCTAATAGAAAAAATCTAAGAGAAAAATTCAAACAGGAATTTGAAATCTATTGACTTTTTCTGATTGAATATCCAATAGAATTAGCGCAAAAAACAAATCGAATTTTTCAATAGAATTCCTTAGGTTTTCTATTGAATTTTTTCATGCGTGAATGTGTACAATAATAATTCTGAATTATTTTTTTTTTAATTCGCCTCCTACACAGCTAATTTCGTTTTGTTTAATATGAAAATTTGCGCCATTCATGTGAAATAGGCAGAAAAATTATCCTCAAAATATTTAAAATATATTCTCGATTCGTTCAGAAACATTTTTCGAGCTCGTATTTTTGAACATTTCTCAAAATTATTTATCCCCTTCAGATTAACTCATTTCATTAAATTCCTCGAAAATTTTTCCATCCCCTTTTGGCTGAGAATTCATGCTACAAACTTTCTCTCCCATTTCAGTATTTTTTTACTCCCAAGGTTTCACCAAAAAAATTATTAGCAAAGATATAAAATGCAACACCTCAAAACAGAGTAAAATCCAAATTTAAAAAACCATTTATCACCACTAAAAAAAAATAGAAACACATTTATATGAACTGGTATCCATCGAGACGAGACGAGTATTAAAAAAAAAAAAATTTGTATCCGACGAGTAGTTTAGAAGATATTGAGCAAAACATATTTTCACAAAAAGTTGAATATCTTCTAAACTAGAAATCCGATTTCACCCTTCCACAATACCAGCCTGTTGTACCATAAGAGTTACAATCATACCAAATTTAAGCAAAAAAGATTTTCGAGAAATCGCTGTATCTCAAAAACTGCCAATTATTTCACAAAATTTCAGATTTTTAGCATCGACTTTACTCCTTTTTTCGTGAAGATTTCACATTGACACACCCACATATTTTCTAAAAACATCATATCCTGCCGTTTCATGACATTCTCCATAATTTCTCATCAAAATTAGAAGATCGTAAAAATCGACGATTACAAAGCTTCCATTCGAAAGCCAACCAATTTATCACCACTAAAAACTGTACCAAAGCGGAATAAATAATTCCGAAAAAAATTCCAGGAATCCCGTGCAAACAACCTGATCCCAGGCACCAAGCAAGAGCAACTGGACTGGATCCGCAAGGACATCTCCGAGTTCAGGTCGACGAGAAACCTCTCGAAGGTGATAATCCTCTGGACCGCCAACACGGAGCGTTTCTCCGCACTCCTCCCGGGGGTGAACGACACAGCGGAGAACCTCCTCGCCTCGATCGCCTCGAACCACCCGGAGATAAGTCCGAGCACGATGTTCGCAGTGGCAGCATCCCTGGAGAACTGCACCTACATAAACGGCTCGCCCCAGAATACCTTCGTCCCCGGTGCGATGGAGCTCGCCGAGAAGAACCGAACGTTCATCGCAGGGGACGACTTCAAATCCGGCCAGACAAAGTTGAAATCAGTCCTCGTCGAGTTCCTGGTGTCCGCGGGGATAAAGCCCGTGTCGATAGCCAGTTACAATCACCTGGGGAACAACGATGGCTTCAATCTGTCGGCCCCACAGCAGTTCAGGTCGAAGGAGATCTCCAAGAGCAATGTCGTCGATGACATTGTCGAGAGCAACAGAGTACTCTACGAGGAGGACGAGAAGCCCGACCACTGCATCGTCATCAAGTACCTGCCCTACGTGGGGGATTCCAAGAGGGCCATGGACGAGTACGTCTCGGAGATCATGCTGGGGGGTCACAACACCATCATCGTGCACAACACCTGCGAGGACTCCCTCCTGGCGAGCCCCATCATCCTCGATCTGGTGATCCTCGCGGAGTTCTGCTCGAGGGTTTCAATCAGGAAGAAAGAGGCCGAGGGCCAGGGCTTCGAGAGCTTCAAGAGCGTTCTCTCTTTGCTCTCGTATCTCTGCAAAGCACCTCTCGTACCCAGGGGGGCTCCTGTGGTCAATGCACTCTTCAAGCAGAGGACTGCTATTGAAAATGTACTCAGGGCTTGTCTCGCTCTGCCACCTGTCAATCACATGATGCTGGAGCACAGGGTACTCATCGGGGATTAGGGCCTGGGGAGACTGTAAGTAGTGAGGATACTTTTGATACCTGCTGTGCATTTCTGGGGGGAGGGGGGGGGGGGCCTTGTGGAG